TTTTCATTTTAATTAATTAATTTGTACTTTTCATTTTAGATTGGTGTTTACACGAGACACTTTATCTCTCACTTTCAGTGCAAATGTTGAATACGAGGGCCCTAGATAAATACAATCGATTGTAGTATCAAAAATGTTTATTGTGTATATGTATGTGTATATATGTACTTCTTGCACCGTTTCCTATAACCCCCCTTACTCTGGTAAATGATAACACAACTCAGTGCTCTCCCTCCTCTTTTCGCTACCTTCTTGTTCCCCAAGCCCCTGTCTTGCACAGGATATGGATTATGTCTTAGCTGCTCTTTGAAAGGAAAATTGATGTTCATCAGTGTATAGGAGAGGTGTCCTTCTCCTCAATCAACTACATGTTAGCTGGATGATTTTATACAAGACACTTTTCCCTCTAAGCCTCAACTTTTTTTTTTTTTTTTTAAATCTTTGACATGGATGAAGGAGGTATTTTGATGAAGGGAGGTGTTTGATTCCAAGGTCCTTTCCAATTCTAAAATTCATTTCATTTTCTGCCATCGAGTGGTCATCCTGAGTGTGATGTATGATTGGACCCCCATACTTCCAGCCTTCTCTGGGTTTCTGGTGCGTGCTAACTGTTCCACTGCACTACATGTTAAACCAGCAAGAGTGTCTAGAGAGTTCTTCCAGGTCACAGCTCTCCTGAGGGGGCTTTGAATTCAAACCACTGTGGAAGTCACCGTGTAATCCTAGAGGGAAGCAGTGTTGCTGAGTTCCTATCCTTTACCTCCTTTCTCACCCAACCTCTTCGAGAATTAAATTCGTAACTTGCTTTGTGGCTGAAATTATCATAAAACCTTTTTATTTTAGAATGGTTTTAAATTTACAGAAGAGTGAAGCCATGGCAAAGAGTTCACATATGAACAACACCCAGTTTCCCATATTAACATCTTAACATTGGTTTGGTATATTTATGAAAATTAACAAACCAGTATTGATACATGATTATTAACTAAAGTGTCTAATTTTTTCAGATTTCTTTAGTTTTTACCTACTATCCTTTTTTGGTCCCAGGATCCCATTTAGAATAGCATGTTACATTTGGTTGTCATGTCTCTGTGGACTCCCCTTGGCTGTGACATTTTCTTAGACTTATCTTGTTTTTGATGACCCTGGCAATGTAAGTGTTCCTAGTCAGTCATTTTGTAGAATGTGCTCTGATGGTATTTGTCTGGTGTTTTTCTCATGATCCGACTGGGGTTATGGGTTTTTGGGAAGATCACGGAGGTAAGGTGCCATTCTCATCATGTCATATCGAGGGTATATATTATCAGCATGATTTATGACTGTTGATAGTAACCTCGATCACCTTGCTGAGGGAGTGTTTTGTTTGTCAGGTTTCTCTGCTGTAAAATTACTCTATCCCCTCCTCTTTTCCTGTCATACTTCATGGAAGGAAGTCACTATCAACAACCAATGGAAGTTTATTTCCTGTTCATGTAACTGTCCAAAGTGGATATTTCTGATGGCTATAGTCTTTTTTCTATCAGTTATTTAGAGGCCCAGCATTCTTCTATTTTGTTGACATCCCCTAGGGCTTTGTCATCTAAATCCAGCCAGCATTAAGAGAATGTTTGCTTTTAAAAGCCTCGGCCTGAAAATGGCACACATCACTTCCACTTACATTCCATATGACACTCATTCATCTGCCAAACCTAACTGCAAGGGAGGCTAGGACATATGGTCTAGCTGGGTGCCCAGGAAAAAGAGGAAATGGATTTGGGAGAAAAGCTAGCAGCATTTGCCACACCATTTTAGAGTACAAAAGATAACTAACCAAACCCCTGCCACCTCATCATCTAATAATATAGCCATCATTTCATTAAAAAAGAAAAAATATAGAAGAACATTATCTTAGAATCAAGTAGAGTCATATAAATTGGAAAATATCCATTGTTTCTCTGTCTGGAATGCCCTTTCTCTGTTTTTTGTTTTGTTTTGTTTTGTTCCATTTGCCTTTTTTTTTTTTTTCCCTATTAAAATGCCACATACTTTTCAAGTGATGATGAGGTGCCTTCAGCCAACCTTGAGACAGAATTAGTCCCTTTCTCCTTGGTGCCATCATGCCATTCTGCTTCAATCCCTTAACACCTACCCCACACTAGTATTATAAATATGTTTCATGCCTTAGACTAGGTGCTCCATGAGGACAGCATAGGAATCATTCATCTCTTAGATCCCCAAGTATTGTCTGACAAATAAAAAGCATATTTGTTGAGTGCCTCCAGGATTTTAGATGTACCAAAAAGTGGTCTCATTTTTTTAACCCCTTTCTTTAAAATACAACAAAACATGTCCTCTTCCCCTCCCCCCTTTATAAAAATGATCCACACTTATCATAGCCAAGCCTTCGTGGAGGAAATGATCTTGAGCTGAGCCCAGAAAGGTTGGCAGGGTTTGATAGATGGTAATCAGGGTGTAGGCAGGCCTGGTTTCTATGACACATGCTAGGTTCAGGGCATTTGTTCAATAGTCAGGTCTCCTTTGAAACATCTAGTGCAAAGCATTTGCTTTCATGATCATCACATAATTAAAACAGACTCCAAGCTTGTTCTGGCACTGCATTTAGGCAGCCAGGGATGGTATAAAAACCTGGTGCTCATTATCTTGAACAGGAGTTACCAACCTGAATTCCCAGGGCCCCAAAAGGGGAATAGCGTCACCGTAGCAAAAGAAATGTTTAATTACAGCTACAGAAAGAGGAGCATGAAAAAAACAAACTTTTGCTGGCATTAATGTCTCAGCTGTCATATATCTCATTAACAACCAAACCATGACATCTTAAAGTGACCTTATCAAGCTTATTAGTAAGAAAATATCAATTATAAGACAGTTTTCCCTTTCCTTCCATACTTCTCTATCCTCTACCCTTAACCTGCTGTTTACTTTAATGACTTACAAGCTTAATATTTCACTAAAACAGAAATCAGAAGACGTCTGATTTTCATCATTGAAAAACATACCTTAATTCGGATTTATATTCTTATGGATTTCAAGTCATACTGTACCCTATATTTATTCATCAAAATTCTCAATGGTTATAGTTAGCATAGGAATTATTTTTCCCTTTATACAGATGTGGCAACTGAACCTCAAATGTCAAGTGACTTCCTCAGGACCACATGGCAGTTTTGGTTCAAAGCTCGGTCTTCTGCCTGCATATATAGATTTATATGTGGCATATTAGTCCCTGCCTGTCAATCAGTTAGCCTCATGGCAGAGACACACATGTTATTTTTATTCCCCCTGATTATAAAAGTGATCTGCAATTATGATAGCCAAGCTTCCTTGGAGGAGGTGATCTTGAGCTGAGCCCAGAAAAGTTAGTAGGTAGGGTTTGATAGATGGTAAGAGCGATACAGGATATTATTTTACAATGGCTTAGCTAGCTATGTATTCTTCCAATGTGTCTCTAGTATGTCAGACTAGGTGGGCCCATAGAGGCAACACAATGAGCAGGATCCGTTCCTTGACTTCTGCCACCACTCAGGGAAGATGATTTTAACGTGCTCCAAGTCAATAGATACTTATAGAAGGGATTTAAAGATATTTCAGTTTAACTTCTACATGGTCCTGATAAGGAAGTTAAGGCCCACAAAGTAGATAAATAGAATTTACTTAACACACATATATAACATGCAGTTATCAATCAGAATGCCTAATTTCCAGTTCAGTCCTTTTTTTTTTCATAATCCTGGTTCCTTATTCCCAATTTTCTTGGCATCTTTTCTGCCTCTTAGGATTGCTTTGAGGGAGACATGTTTATATCGGCATTGCCTCATATTCCTGAATGTATGTCATCAAGTCATATGTGAAAAAGTTTAACCACAGACATATGCTGTAAAGAGCAGGTCTATTCCTAGAGAGATAAAAACACTGAATCCTTAACTAGAATTCTTATTTAGAATTAAACATCAATAAATGTGTTTGGTTTAACACACTCTACCTACCATATTGCCTGACAAAAAGATTTGGAGTAAATATTGGTTGAATAAATGGGGAAGGTAAGAAATTGACTATCAGTTGAAATTTTGTGATTGTCCTTTTGAGGGTAGGAAGTTGTTCCTTCAGGGATGCATTATGATGGTCTAATTTTTGCCCAGTACTGTGAAACAGAGACAAAGATGGTAGTGATGTTGTAGAAAATGAATTGTTGCTGGCAGCCAGCACCACAATGAGAGAGCTTTAAATATTTATGTCAGCTGATAATATAAAAATCTAAATGTGGGATACGAAGTTCCGCTTGTGGTATTAGTGTGTAGAGAGTTTTTAAAAGCTGAGGACCGCTCCTAGTTTGAAATACTTAGAGAAATATTCATGGATCGATTGATTAACTGATGGATTGATTTATACTGGAAAAATGACTGTTGTGCTGGGGCTTCTCTCTGATGAGGTATTTATTGAAGGTAAAATCTCTTTTCACATACATCTCATGACCATTGGGGTTTTGCTTTTTTCTGTGGTCCTCATACAAGTCGTTCTTTCTGGCTAAACTTGAACAGCATTTCAAAACCCAGGAGTTTCTGATGGTTAGTTGACATTGAGCAGAAATAGAAGTCTTCCAGGGCCTAATTTTGATTGCTGGAAGCTTAGGAATTACGGTGGCAGTTTGGTGTAATAGTGATCCTGGAATGGGACAATTAGCTTGGTGGCATCTTGCAGTCAGACACTAGATTCATGAAGGAGAGAAATAATTCACGTTTTTAACATGCCTCTGTACTTTACTAATCGTAATTAGTTTTATCTATTTATATTTGGTTTACTGCTGTATAGTATTATGGCTTTGCCTCTAGATGGAAAAAGAAGAGAAAGATGTGTTCCTGAAGTGCCCCCTTTCCAAATGTTTATTTCAATATTTAAGCCTTTGGCATTTGTGAGTTTACTTAGAGAATTTTTGGACAATTTGCAAGTGTGTATTTTTATAAACAAAATTAGAATTTGAATAATCATTTCATTTTGTTTTGCAGAACCCCAGCTGAAAGGAATTGTGACAAGGTTATTCAGCCAGCAGGGATATTTCCTGCAGATGCACCCAGATGGTACCATTGACGGGACCAAGGACGAAAATAGTGACTACAGTAAGGAACATTCTCTTCTTGCAATCCCATTATTATCAAATGTATGGCCCAGTATATCTTAGGCTTAAGTTGTGGCCAGGCTACCTTTTGAACTCTTTAACTGATAGTAAGCTGGTGTCTTGTCTTTTATCCTTTTTGCTATGATTTCCTATAGTAAAGAGACAGTTGGGAGGTTACATAGTAAATGAGAAGGTAGGAGGCTTGAAGGAGTTCCAGATACTCAATGGATAAGAATATCCTCCCATCCCAGGGTTTGTAGTCAATATGGTGATAAGTATTTGTAGGAACAAGGCAGACCTTCCAACACAAGGTAGTGTTTTAATCCAAGATCCAAATAGTAAACATGTTATAATATTTCTCGGAACCTCATTTCTGGCAGACCAAAATTACTTCTTAAGGTAAACATTGAATACATACATATGTCTTTTACATGTGATTTCATTTTGGTTGAGGACAAAATTATTGATTTTAAAAGGAAAATATATATATTTTTATTTTATATTGATTTAAAAAGAAAAATAGTATGATGATGTTTTGGTAATAGCAGGGTAATAAAGACCTGTAGACTTGAAATTTTACTTATAAGTTTTTTAAGTAAAATGCCAGATATTCAAAGTTTGTTAATAATATCCCTGGAATGAGCTTTTAACTAATTTAAGTAAAGAGTTAGCAATATATTTGCATTTCAGAAGAATTTTGAATACAAGCCTCAGAACAAAGAGTGATCACTTGCATCAGACCTTTTAGTTCCTGCACAATCACATACAGATATCCAGGGGGAAATTCATGTTACCTTAAAATTATGCGGGGTGCCATGTTGTTTCCTAAAGTTTGTCTGTATTCACTGCTAGATCGTTAGTGTTGGGCTCCTAGTAAATACTCGTCAAGTATATGTCCCATGGAGTTATCTTCGACAGTTAAAATTTTGTGGTCAGTGTGACAATCTTTCTCTCTCTCTATATATATACACATATATATGTGTATCTATATACATATATATATATATATATATGGAGCTTATATTTTATGGAAAATAACTTCTAAATTAAAATTAAAGATTTGAGGGAAGATCTGCAATTCCTAAAGTGTGAAAACATTCTTGTCCACCCCTTCTAAATCATTCTTTGTTCACTTAATATTACACATTGTAAAATACGAATTACAATACAGTAAAGATCTTATTATAAAAAATTGCATCCCAGTTCCCTTCATAGTTGATTAGCCTGTTGTGGTTTGCATTGTTGGCTTGTGTTTGTTTGTAGGAATGCATTCTTTATCTTTTGATTTATTGATTTATTGATTGGAATGCATTCTTTAAATGATTCATGGTTTCATCTGAGTACAGAAGAATAAGCGTGCCTTTCTCTCCGTGTAAGATTTTCATCTGTTGCATCTGTACTTGTGTGTAGATTTAGTGAAGCTACAAGTGTTGATGGGAAGAATCAGAGAGGTGGCTTAGTGGTGTCGCCTCTGCTGTCCGGAGTGATCCCTCGATTTTAGTTTCTTTTTCTATAAAATGAGGTGGCTGGAGACAATAATATGAATGTCTCCTGTCAGCACCATCTCTCCCACTTTTTAAAAAAAGGAAGAATTATCAATTGAGGAGGATAAATTCAATACTCAAATAAGTTGAATAGCTATGCATGATTCCACATGAAGCAGTCATGACCCGAAAAGCTATCCTGCAGACGTATGACATGTATTATGGGTTTGTGGTGGAAGAGCTGGGGCAAAAATGTGGGTTCAACTGACAAAAATCCTTCCTTCACTGTTTCATAGAAAAATAATTGAGAAGTGCTTTCTCTGCTGATGCTGGGTCAATGTCTGATATAAATGCACACACACACACGTATACACATGTATACACATATATATGTACAAATATATATGACTATATGTTTATGCATAATGGTATTACGCATAACACACATGTTGAGGGTGATACATTTTGTCAAATACTTTTAGAAACTGAATTTTACATTTAAAATAACTTATTTTTTTAAGATAAACAACTGCACACACTTTTTTGATATATTGATTTTAAAAATAGTTCAGATATACAAATTGTAAGACTAGGATATGTCTACCTGAATACCCAGTCCCTGGAGAAAAATTAGGTAAAAAATATGCATACATTTGAACCCATTCTGTGCTTTCCCTGGTGGAGTCCTGCTTTCCTTCAGTACCAGACATAACAACAAGCCTGAATTTAGCATTGTTTATTTCCATGCAGTTTTAAAAAATACATTTTTCATATATGTATACTTAAACCATTTATAATATTGTTTTGCATGTTTTTAAACTTTTAATAAGAGAGCATTACTATATATAAGTTCTGTGTACTTTTCCTCCCTAAGGAGGAAAAGTGAGCTGCTTATATGGTGATATATTTGCTTTCTGTCATTCACTTTTGTTTTTGTAAAGTATCTCTTTACATGAATATACACAAATGAACTTATCCATTCCCTTTTTGGTGGATAATTATCATTTGTACTTTAAGGCAGCACAACTACATTTCTTATAAATGTTGGAAGGATCTTCCCTAACCATCCTTTATAAAATGACACATCTTACCTTGGTCCTCTCTATTCTGATACCCACCTTTTTTTGTATTCATAGCTCTTATAACCAACACACACACACACACACACACACACACACACACAGTTGCTATTTATTTGTTTATTTTTTTATCTCCCTCTTCCTCCCAGGAGAATGTAAGTTCCATAAGGAAAGCAATTTTGTTTTGTTCTTTGACTTATCTTTAGAATGATCTCTAATACATAGTAGGTACTCAGCAAAAATTGAACGAATGAATGAATATCCCCTTGTGCATATGAACAAAATTTCTCTGAGTCATTGGCTAAAATGCTCCACCCACCAAATATTATTTTAACTTTGCTTTTGAAATAATTTTAGACTTCAGAAAAATTACAAAATAATACGGCATGTTCCTATATACTTTTCATCCAGATTCCCCTAATGGTATCATTTTATGTGACAACAGTAAGATTATCAAAACCAAGAAGTTAACACTTGTACCATACTATTAACAGAGCTAGAGACTTAATTCAGATTTTACCAGTTTTTCAATTGACATGCTTTCTTCTGATTCCCCAGCCCCCTCAACACATATTTTCACTGAAAATTTTCCAATGAAACCAAATCATTTTTATTTATGCTTCTTCTTTTAAAGGGTAAAAGTATCAGTGGAGGATTTAAATTCTACTCATTTTTTTAAATCAAAAATTATAAGCCTCTAAGATGTGAAAATGACTTTTCTTTCTCTACTTTGTGTGGGCAGGAGTAAAAGCATTTGATTGTTTGAAAAAAAAATCTTGTTACTATGAGCATCTGTCAGAATTGTGCTGTTTGGTTCACTAGACGTCATTAGGTCCAACCAACCTTACCATGGTATCTTGCATTGAATTGATAAAGACACCTGTTCTTTTGTTCATGAAGAAAAGACTAATTACATGTAATTGAGTACAAAAACAAATGAGTTTGTCAGCAGCAACAGATAAGAATCTCTGCAAATGTAATGATAACAAAAGATACAAAACTGTGTTGGAACACTGGCACAAAAAAGACAATTGCAGTTTGGAGAGTATTAATAGGAATATTTTACATAAAATTAGAAAGGTAATTATTCTGCTCTACTAGTTGCCATAGGAGAAGATGCATTTGAAGAGGTCAAACATACTGGGGTGGAAACAATTAAGATATTATAACCAAATGTATTGTTCTCTTTCCCTCTGAACAAAATGTAGGAACAGTGATTTGAGCACAGAATGAGCTGCCTGGTAAATTAGTACAATAGGGAAACTGGAGATATTCAAGCAGATGTTATACTGACACTTGTAGAGGACTTCACAAGAAAACCTTGTTGGTGTGGGAAGGGGGAATAAGGTGGTGGTGACTGGGGTAGTTTCTAGGCTAGGTGGCTTTTAAGGACTCCTTCAGTACTGAGATTCATTTTTTAAATTTTATGAAGGTTTTTAACTTTAATTCCAGGATAATTAACATCCAATGTTGTATTAGTTTATATCCAATATGTCCAATTGTTATATTAGGTGTACAATACAGTGATTCAACAATTCTGTTCATTCATTCATTCCTTAGTGTTCATCATGATCAGTGTACTCTTTAATCCCTGTCACCAGTTTCCCCCACCCCACACCTCCCCTCTAGTAACCATCAGTTTGTTCTCTATAGTTAAGCATCAGCTTCTTGGTTTCTCTCTCTCTCTCTTTTCCCATTTGTTCATTTGTTTTGTTTGTTAAATTCCTCACATGAGTGAAATCACATGGTATTTGTCTTTCTCTAACTTATTTTCCAGGATTATACTTTCTGGGTCCATCCATTTGTTGAAGATGGCAAGATTTCATTCTTTTTTACAGCTGAATAATATCCCATTTTATGTATATACCTTATCTTTATCCATTCATCTCCTGATGCACATTTAGTTGTAACGATTATTCTGCCAGTGTTTGGGTTGTTTTTTGAGTTATTTACACTTATGTGTTAACTAGTTGTATATGTGGGATGAGGTGAGCCTGGGGTCCTCCTACTCTGCCATCTCCCCCAGGAATCCCAGACCTGATATTCTTTTAGAAATTATTTTGAATAGGTAAGATAAGTATATATATAAAACCATAAATATGCAAAAGGGTACACAATTGAGAAAGAGCAAAACAGTCCCTTCCAGCCAGGCCTTGGTGTAGTTCTGTTGAAAATACACAATTTCACAGAACACCAGATCCAATGACATCACTGTGATTATGCTGGATCAAGACAAAAAAACAAGACCACTCTGTAATCATGTCTGAGCACAGACAAAAAGAAGAATGTTGTCCAAACTACAAGATGATCAAATATTTCTCTATCCTGCCTTATATGCATGGCTGCTTACTAATTCAGCAAACACAGCTTTAACTTTGCTCTGCTCTTCTTATTTATTTATTTATTTATTTACATCCCCAGTCATACAATGACACACA